TGGAAGTAAGTTGATCGATGCACTCCTGTCTTGATAATTCACGTCGAAAGTCGTAATAAATCATTGCACGAAAATTTTCACGAGTTAATTCCATTTTTTCGCTGAGACACGATTTTCAAGTGACTGTAAACAATACAAATCGCGCTCAAATAACAAAACGTTATGAAGAAGGTTATGGTAAAAAATGTCAAACTTTCTAGTGGAAACGTCCGATGGCACCTGACAACACTCAGTGTTGCCAAGGCTCAAAATATAAATAGTGCCCCTCGTACAACAAACTAAACTAACAATGAGTCGAAAAGGAGTCCTCTACCATTTTGCGATTTTGGTAAATATTGATTTTCAACAGTGAATGGAAAGTTTCTTTTTAAAAGTAACAAGTTACAGTTATCGAATAGAAAAAGTAACAAGTTACCGTTACTATAGTTACCGATTTTTAAAAGTAACTTGTTACAATTTCCGTTACTTGAAAAAGTAACTTTTTATTATTTTTTCATTACTTTTTTTAAAATCGACGACCACTAGTCACAACGAATAGATCCCTAGGGGCTTTTTAATCTCAAGCGCTATGAGGGGCTTGTGTCCAATCGAGTCATATCCAATCGTGTATAAAGTAACGATAAAAGTAACTGTAAAATTAATTACCGTTACCAAAAAAATTTGACTACGTTATCGTTACAATTATCAAAGAAAAGTAACGCAGTTACCAGTAAAGTTATACCAAAAAGATAACTCGTTACTGTAACTTTATTACAAGTAACAAATTACTTCCGTTCCCTGGTTTTCAATAATTTTTTACTCAAGTAATATCAACTTTACAGAAAAACAGTAAATGACCAAAATTGTTTATTTTCTTCACATAAAGTTCTAAGAATTTTTTTTAAATTTGTTAGTATTGCATTTTCTCATGTTGATAAAAATAGTTATCAATACGAAAATGCAGTATTGAAAAGTTGATAAAAAATTCTGAAAAAATTCTTAGAGCTTTATAAGAAAATTAAACAATTCTTGTCTGTTGTTTTTTTTTGTAAAGTTGATAGTACTAGAGTAAAAAATTATTAAAAACCAAAATTCGGCGATTTTTAGTAACTATATTGTTAACTATTACGAAAATTGCAAAATGGTAGAGGACTTTTTAATTCAGTTTAGTCCGTTCTACCAGCACATAAAATATTTGGCGATTATTTTGGAACACCCTGTATATGGTTTAATGTACAGGATGTTTCGCGAAGAAATTAATAAATTTCTGGAAGTGTGTTTTAGAGGTCATTCTAATTAAAAAATATACATATAGATTAATTCAACTCACAATCAGTTATTGACGCACAAATAAATAATCATATTAATGCAGCAGACAAAATACACTAAATATTTATCATTTTTATGTAAATATTATTTTCATAATCATATTAGTTGGTCGAAATACCTATACAATTGCTTACAAACACTGCAACTTACTATACTGCTTGATGTGTCAAAGAAAAAAATATCTGCATATGCTAAAATGTCTGTATATTTGTGTGTGTGTGTGTGGCATAGCTAAATACTAGATATTTTTTAAGATAATACGACTCTATCCAAGGAGCGCCAATGCGCGTATAATGCGCTTTTAATTCGCATACGATTGCGTTGGTTTCAAAACCGCATTAATTATGCACTTAAAATGCACGTATTTTAATGCAATATTTTTGCATGGCATTTGCAGGTTTCAGGGTGCATCCATACTTGGCGCTACAATATTAAGTAGCAAGCTGACATTATTTCGACAAATAATGTTAGCTTGGATTTTGAATTGAATTGCTTTATTTGATTGACTAATCAGAAGAAAGAATGTTACTATAATAGACCGATCGAAGGATAGTAATAAAATTAGTAAAAAATTAATTATATATATACATTAATAATAATATGTA